TTGTATATAGGTATATATGTGCATGACATTAAAAAAATGAAAGCTTTTTGGAAATTATTAATTAACCTGGCAATTTGAAAGAATTATATATTCTCCAGTTTTGAACAACATATATGTCTATACTTTTGCACTCTGGTGTTGCTGTGCAAGTGTGGCGACAAGCCGCCTTTCGCCGGCACCCCTCTTTGGTGGCTGATTAACAAATTGGCTGCCTGATATTGGGGACTTGTATATATAGGTATATATGTGCATGACATTAAAAAATGAAAGCTTTTTGGAAATTATGAATTAACCTGGCAATTTGAAAGAATTATATATTCTCCAGTTTTGAACAACATATATGTCTATACCTTTGCACTCTGGTGTTGCTGTGCAAGTGTGGCGACAAGCCGCCTTTCGCCGGCACCCCTCTTTGGTGGCTGATTGAAATTGGCCGCCTGATATTGGGGACTTGTATATAGGCATATATGTGCATGACATTAAAAAAATGAAAGCTTTTTGGAAATTATTAATTAACCTGGCAATTTGAAAGAATTATATATTCTGCAGTTTTGAACAACATATATGTATATACTTTTGCACTCTGGTGTTGCTGTGCAAGTGTGGCGAGAAGCCGCCTTTCGCCGGCACCCCTCTTTGGTGGCTGATTAACAAATTGGCCGCCTGATATTGGGAACTTGTATATAGGTATATATGTGCATGACATTAAAAAAATGAAAGCTTTTTGGAAATTATTAATTAACCTGGAAATTTGAAAGAATTATATATTCTCCAGTTTTGAACAACATATATGTCTATACTTTTACACTCTGGTGTTGCTGTGCAAGTGTGGCGACAAGCAGCCTTTCGCCGTCACCACTCTTTGGTGGCTGATTTGCATGGTGGCTGATTAATTGGGGACTACAGTTATTGACATATATCGATATATGAATAATATAAAAATATTTAAGTGTTTAGAAATTATTACTGTAGGTACAGTATAAAAACTCATATGAAACATTAACCTAGAAATTTGAAAGAATATTATTCAGTCTAAATCTCAGTGGCAGCGTGTATTAATTTTATTTATTATTTTATATCATACTACTGTATATTGTTTATTGTATATTATACTATATGTGGTTTTGGCATTTCCTTACTCAAATAATAACCATGTATAAGTGTTATGTTAGAGCACACCCAAACCGGGGGCTGAATTAAGGGATATAATAAATGTAGTTCACTCTGCAACATTAATTTCTAATTATATGTTCCTTCTATTTATCTAGGAAAGTTAAGATGTAGACAGCTTCGTGTCAAGCAAAGACCCAAAAGAATTGCCATTTCTTGTAATGGTTGTCTGGCGACCGTTGAATGCAATTTCTCAAATCTTTATTGTCGCTGACTTGCTGGTACTTTTTCGAGTTAAGGTTGTAATTGTGGAACTGATGGCATGAACTCACATTCTCTTTTCGAGAGGAGGTTAATTAATGAAATTAGGAATGACATATACTAAGTGATATGAACTGAATAAAATCTGAACTCAGTAGGAGAGGGCAATTGCTCTTGTATTGTATATACAGTAGGTATCGTTTATAACTCATTGCAGTATTTGCATCAGTTTGGTTCGAATGTTGCATCTTTACTCTGAACGGAGTGCGTACAACCATGCATGCATGTACAGGGTGTCTCAAAAAAACCCAAAATCATTGAAATAACGTATTGTTCGAATTTCAATGCCGTAACACAAAGGATTTTGACAGGGTGATTAATTTGTTTTAAAAAATTAAAATATCTTTGTAAAGTGAACGTTTGTTTGCTCATGGGAATTTAAAAATGCTTCGTAAATTCGTGGGGTTAGTACTTTATGCCTGACATAACAAGTTTACGCTGAGTATTACCATTCATTATAGCAGTTATGTCAATCTTTTATGCACTCGTGGGATTAACTTAGTGCTAGGGCATTGAATATCGAACAATACGTCAATTTCAATGATTTTGGGTTTTTTTGAGACACCCTGTATTGTAGGTCAAAATCACTTTGTTTGTTACTACTGTGTATGCTAATTTTAATTTGTTCTATATATTGGTAGAATACATTATTTTCACTGACACAGTTGTGTTGAGATGACTATATAGTATCTGACTTTATATTATTTCTTTCAGTCATGGCCTTACTCGGAACAATGAGTAAAAAGGTACTCAGCTCGCTGAGAAAAAGGAGAATGTTTAAAGATTTGAGTAGTTTTGTACTCGTTGTTTTGAGTAAGGCACTCTTCTTTTACTCACTGTGAGTAAATATCGCACTTTACTCACGTTTTAGGTGTCACTGGGAATGGATTTTGGTTTACTCAGAAACTTGAGTAAAATTTTACTCATTGTTTTGCGTAAAACCTGCAGTTTACTCACTGTGAGTAAAAATCGCATTTTACTCACGTTTTAGATGTCACTGTGAATGCATTTTGTTTTACTCAGAAATTTGAGTAAAATTTTACTCATTGTTTTGCGTAGAACCTGCAGTTTACTCACTGTGAGTAAAAATCGCATTTTACTCGCGTTTTAGATGTCACTGTGAATGCATTTTGTTTTACTCAGAAATTTGAGTAAAATTTTACTCATTGTTTTGCGTAGAACCGGTAGTTTACTCACAGTGAGTAAAAATCGCACTTTACTCACGTTTTAGGTGTCACTGTGAATGCATTTTGTTTTACTCAGAAATTTGAGTTATTTTTACTCAAACTTTGTGTGTCACTGTGAATGCATTTTTTTACTCAAATATTTGAGTTGATTTTACGCAAGGATTTTTTGCAGTGTAAATGCCAGCGTAGTTTGCGCTTTGTTGTCGAGTGAACGCCTGAGTAGGCGTCTTGTTTTATTTTATTTTATAAGCTTTAATGGACATCGAAATTCCTGATTACAAGGTGAACGTCCAATGGGGTTAGTGCAAACGGGAAAACGAGACCCATGCATGCAAGGCACAACCTCTAAATAAAGTATGACTAGATAACAAAAAGAAAAAGAAAAAAAAAGATTTATTATCAAAAGAAGATTTATTATATTTATCTATTTACAGTAAATATATACATAATGCAGTAATAGTAGGAACGATGGCAGGAGCAATAGCACGTGAGTGACCAAGTGCATGGCATATCCACACTAAAAGTATCCTTGACCAAGTTGGAGCTAGTATGTCGTGTCACTCGTGCAGGAAGTGTTTAAAAATATGTAAATATGTATTCATCAAAAGTTCAAAACCTAACTATATTGAATGGCAAAATGTTCCTAAACTAAAGCGTTCAGACATTGGAGAAGTGTTGAGCGTTGGCAAAAGAGAGTACTTCTCAACTCTCTGCCATTTAAACCACCTCATTGTTGATGAGAGTGTATGATAGAGTTACAGTTCTCACAGACCTTCAAACTCTTTAATACGCTTATAGCGTGAGCCACGCATTTGGCATCTATCTCACACGCATAACTATAAATTTTCCTCACTCAATTCCATAAAAAAGTCTTGCTTAGATGTTTCGTTCAATGAATGGCTACAAGATGATGTATTTCTAGACCATTTTGCATTTACCAGAATAACAGAAGATAAAATATGCTAAACTTTTAACATTTAATATTTTCAATCACAATTTGTAATTTTATGATTGAAGTGACTGTTGACTGTTTGATTTCACTCATTTAATTTAAATAGAATTATAAATTGTGGAAATTGTATTTTGGCGGCTTGATATCTGATCTTCAAAAACTCATTAATAATTCATGAAGCAATTATCCAATCTTGAGTAAGAAATTAGTCACGTGCATATGTCTTTATACCAGCTAAACAACACTTTAACAAAAGACCATTGTTATGCAAACTATATAAAGATTTTTATATAAAGATTTTTATATAAAGATTTGACTTATTATGCATACGTTTTTGAAGTCATTTAAAAAACTCGCGGGTCGTGTTTTATTAGGTCTAAAGCCACTCGCGCTGCGCGCTCGTGGCTTTAAACCTAATAAAACACTCCTGCTCGTTTTTTAAATAGTACTTAAAAAACTCATTAACAATTCATGAGGAAAATACAAAAGAAAGGAATGTTTAATCAATGTTTGTAAATCGGATAAAGATTTGTCCTGATTTACATAAACTTTAACTTTGATTTTCTCAGCTTAGACAATGTTTATTTTTAAAATTACTTCGCCAATGAACTCATAAGATGGGTCGTTTTTTAAGCACGATAAAACATTCGCATCCGATCTTTATCTGATATACAAACTCTTGCCTTCGGCTCGATATCAGATAAAGATCGGCTGCTCATGTTTTATCTAGTATATAACTGTATACAGAAACACGGAAATATCCCGCCTCGCGCCTTGAAATTTAAAAACATAAACAAAAAAAATTTAATATCGACTTCTCAATCGAATTTTCAATTTGAGTAGTGGCGAACTAGACATGCACGTTTTATTATAGTAAAGTAGACCAGTTGTGGGTTTATTATATTATGTATAATGAGAATTTGTAACTGAATAATTTGTTGAAAAATATGTCTATAAAAACTTTTCTTGAGTCATTATGGCATATAGAGCTCCCATGATTAATTCTCGTTCTGCCAAACTCCAACGCGTGTCCATGCAGTCTATGACTGCATGTATAGAAACCGACACGGAAGATATTTCTATTTCTTAATCTTGTAACAGATGTTTCGCATTGTTAACTAATTGAGTGACTTTCTTTTCGCTCGCAGTCTGTTGTATGGTATTTTTGACAATGATTATGACTGCCAAACCAATTGCATTAAAATTTTCACTGTGTTAGGATATAGCGATCTTCTTTGTATGTAAAAACTTATAAAGTAACAAAATATAATATATTTGCTTTAGAGGTTGCTGCTCGCTACGACGCGTTCATCTCTTACAGCGAAATAGACGGCGGATCATTTGTACGTTCAACGTTGAAGCCAATGTTGGAGGACGAATGCGGTTACAAATTATCCTTACATTATCGAGAATTTGTTCCTGGTAGAACCATTGCAGATAATATAGTTGACTCTATATACGGCAGTCGTCGCATTGTGACCATTGTTACTCCAAAATTCATCGATAGTGAATGGTGCAAATTCGAAGTCGGTCAAGGACTTCACCGCGCTATCCAAAAGCCGAACACACTAGTTGTCGTTATGTTGGTCGAAATGCAGAAAAAACGATTGCCAAAATGGCTTCAATCGTCCATATCGCATGTAACTTTTCTTCAGTGGAATGATGGAAAACGAGATGAAATGCGCAAACAAATGAGGAGTGCTTTAGGAAAGCCTTGTACTCTTAATCATACTGATGGACATGGAGAAAATGAGATTGGATTTGAAATTGCTAGGGAAGAGAGGAATCCTGGCAACAATAAGCTGCAAGAGAATGGCAAGGAATGTGATCCATCTAGTCCGCACGTGATTTGGTCGGAGAATGTAGCAGTTATTTCCGTGTAGTGCTAACACTAACCGCTTTGGGAATAGCTCACCACAGAGAAGAAAATCACCTTCCGGGATGTCGCAATGCAAAACTCGCTTTGGGGATTGAAACTTTTATTTTAATTCTTTATGTCCTTATGTTCTTATGTCCTTTCGTTATGTTATCCAATCTCGGGTTTTAACCATTCATCTTAGGATTTAACGGCGGGGTGGGGGAATCGTTGAAGGAAAGCACAGAAATAAATCCCCAATGTTACTCAAAATATCTTGCGCAAGGCGACGGGCGAAAAAATCATACAATCTTGAATCCTCGGGTTCAATTAGCCTTTCTTATACCCTTGGTTTATCCGCCATTAATTTGGGGGCACTGCCCCTCCCAAGTCTAAGAGAATACGCACCGCAAAATGCGATTTTTTATTATTGTATATGTGTGTATAATGCCCGGGAAAATGTACAGTTACAACTCTGGAAAAGATTTTTACATTGTTTGACTGTCTAGATTCTCCGACGTTGGAAGACAGTACTCAGAAAATTGCGGGTATGGGTGCCCATTATGAGGCTAATTATTTAATCTTAGTATTAGGATTCAATTATTCAATGAATGAATCTAATGATCCAGTAGTTGTTTAGAATCTTATCAGGCTGAATGATTTAACCATAAGATTTACTGACCCAGTCTTGAGATTGAGCTATTGATTCTTAGGATCCAAGGATTCTATTACTAAATCTCAAAATTGAGCGCGGATTCGGTCTTACGATACAATGACTGAATCGACGTATGGAATTAGTGGAGGTTGAACATTAGTTTTCCTTACAATGGCTTTCCTTTCTCGCGAAAATTTTATTTATAAATTTACCTATAGTTTGGGCATACAGACACGTTTTATCATTAATTTATTATTTATTGCAAAATTATATAAACTCATTTTACAAGTTTCAAGTTTTTACCCATTCATAGCATGTCTCTAGAAACAATATTAATTTTATTTGTAATAGAATAAATTGAAACTTTTAGTTAATTCGTGCTATTGAATGGTATCTTTCTCGTCTTTTTTCGCTTTTTTACCTTTTAAACTTTATTGGCGTACGTGCATGCATTCGTACGTGCGAATACGATACGATATCCGTATGCTGACGCGTGTGTGTGTGTGTGTGTGTGTGGGTGGGTGGGTGGGGGGGGGGTGTTTTCTATTTCTTAAATAACGAAAAGTCCATAATTCCGGGATGGGAGGGTGTACATTTAAGTAGGACGCAACATTCAGAAATTTCTTAAACATCTCAAATTTTCACTACTGTCGGGATCCCATCCTTTCTGGAAAGGTGGAAAGTGCTATTGTCGGGATTTCATCTTTGAATTGGATCCTGTGAGGCTCAGACTACCAACACAAATTGACGTTTCGCAGTGAAATATTGTAGCTTGTATATCGCTCTTTGTCATTCTTATATTGCAAAGAGCATGTACCCTTAGTCAAATTTTTATTTTAAGTGTAAATTGCACATTTGTCGAAAATTCAGAAGGTTTTTCATGAAGTGCAGAGGCTTTGCTACAATCCCCGCCGGTCTAGAAAAATTGAATTTCTGCCACTGCAGTAAAGTACATGTAACGATATCTACCGGACTTTATACCCGGGGCTTTTGTACACCGGATAAGAGACCCCTTAGTCATGTGACTGGAGACTGGTATTAACAAGCATGCTTTAAAAACTATTCAATATAGACTGTATAAAAAGTTATAAAGAGCAATAACAACGTCCCTATATACTCTAAAGGATATCTTTACATGGTATCTGGAGTGGGATCGTCGTAAGACGTTGGAATCAAAGTGCTAGAAACGTTTGTTCTATAGACATATAAACAATTATATAGTTGGAAATTCGTCGCGTACGATTTGAACAAAATGGCGACGTCTCTCGGTCTCCCGCCGCCTGAACCGTTTAAAATACTGGAAGGAAATACTGCGATAAAATGGAAAAAATTTAAACAGAAATGGACAAATTACGAAATTGCTACAGGAGTTTCAGAGAAAGAAAATTCGACGAGAGTTGCTACGTTCCTGACAGTGATTGGGGAAGAAGCGGTCGATGTTTATAACACGTTTACTTGGGCCACAGCGGGCGATAACCTGAAAATAGACAAGGTTTTGGAGAAATTCGATGCCTTTTGCAACCCAAGAAAGAACACTATATACGAACGCTATGTGTTTTTTTCGAGAAACCAGGAAAATGGCGAGTCAATCGATCATTATTAACTGTTTTAAAAACTTTGTCTAACACTTGTGAATTTGGGAACTTAAAAGAGTCCTTGATCTGTGACCGGCTTGTGTTTGGAATTCTAGATAATTCTGTTAGGGAAAGATTACTAAGAAGACCCTGAGTTAACCCTGGAAACAGCAATTGAAAGAGTAAGGTCAGCTGAATTGACAAATACACAATTAAAACAAATAAAAGCTGACCAGAAGATTACTGAGGAATTACCAATACATCATGTAAAATCAAACAGTGAACATTCCTATAAAAACCGTGAGCAGAATTTATTAACCCGAAATGTGAATTGTAAGTATTGTGGAAAAAAACACCCAAGGGACAAAAATCAATGCCCTGCCTTTGGAGCAAAATGCCAAAAATGTGGGAAGTATAACCATTTTGCAGCCAAGTGCAAATCAAAGGCTCGCAGACTGATCCCCCGGGTAAATTATGTCGAAGAGGATGAGGCCCCATCTGAAGATGACTATACTATTAGTACTGTAATACATCATATTGGGGCTCTTAACAAAAAAAAGATCTATGACAATAAGATCCCAAAGCAGCTGTTTGCAACAATGAAAGTCAATGATAAGGTGAATATTAAGTTCCAATTAGATTGTGGTGCAACATGCAATCTAATTCCACT